TTAAGATCTTTTTTCTTAAACATATGCTGCAAACTCCGATGATCAGTGTAAATCTCACAAGGAACACCGTACAAATAATGCCGCCAAATATTCAAGGCATGAACAATAGCTGCCAACTCAAGGTCATGGACATGATAGTTCTTTTCATGCACCTTCAGCTGTCTGGACGCGTAGATAATCACCCTACCGTCTTGCATCAACACCGCACCGAGACCAATCCGCGATGCATCACAATATACAGTATAAGATCCCGAACTTGTAGGCAATACCAATACTGAGGCTGTAGTCAAAACTGTCTTGAGCTTATGAAAGCTCTTCTCATATTCCCCTGTCCATCTGAACGGAACACCCTTCTGGGTCAGCCTGGTCATAGGTGCTGCAATAGATGAGAATCCCTCTACAAAGCGACGGTAATACCCTACCAAACCAAGAAAACTCCAGATTTCTGTAGCTGAGAATGGTCTGGGCCAACTCTGCACTGCTTCAATCTTCTTCGGATCCACCTGGATCCCATCACTCGATACTATATGACCCAAGAATGCCACTGAGTCTAGCCAAAACTCACACTTTGAAAATTTTGCATATAACTTCTTTTCTTTCAAGGTCTGAAATACAGTCCTCAAGTGCTGCTCATGATCTTCCCGAGTCCGGGAGTACACCAGAATGTCGTCAATAAACATAATGATGAATGAGTCAATATAAGGCCGGAACACACTGTGCATCAAGTGCATAAAAGTTGATGGGGCATTGGTCAGCCCAAAAGAGATAACAAGAAACTCATAATGACCATATCTGGTCCTAAAAGAAGTCTTCGGGATATCTGGCTCCAGAATCTTCAACTGATGATACCCTGAACGTAAATCAATCTTGGAAAATAATCTGGCACCCTGTAATTGATCATATAAGTCATCAATGCGAGGTAATGTATACCTGTTATTCACTGTGACTTTTTTCAACTGGCGGTAATCAATACACATCCGCATAGAACCATCCTTCTTCTTCACAAATAAGACAGGAGCACCCCAAGGTGACACACTGGGCCGAATGAATCCCTTATCAAGTAATTCCTGGAACTGCTCCTTCAATTCCTTAACTCAGGATGAGCCATACGATATGGAGGAATAGAGATGGCTGAGTTCCCAGCAACAAATCAATGCCAAAATCAATATCTCTGTTAGGCGGCATGCCCGGAAGATCAGTTGGGAACACATCTGGAAAGTCCCTCACTACTGGAACTGACTCAACTCTAGGGGTATCAATACTAACATCTCTCACATAATCTAGATGCGTGTCACACCCCTTCTCAACCATTCGTTAAGATTTAAGAAATGAAATAACTCTGATGGGAGTATACTCTAAGGTACATCTCCACTCTAATCACGGCAAACCTGGCATAGCCAGCGTCATAGTTTTAGCGTGACAATCAAGAATAGCATAATGGGGCGACAACCAGTCCATGCCCAAAATAATATCAAAGTCCACCATGCTGAGCAATAATAAATCGGCTCTGGTCTCAAAACCACTAAGAGCAATCAAACACGACCGATATACGCGGTCCACAACAAGAGAATCTCCCACAGGAGTAGACACATAAACAGGGGAACTCAAAAAATCCAGAGATATGCCCAAATACGGGGCAAAATAAGAGGACACATAAGAATATGTAAAGCCTGGGTCAAATAATACCGACACATCTCTATGAAAGATCGGGAAAATACTTGTAATGACAGAATCAGAAGCGACTGCCTCTCTACGAGCAGGAAGGGCATAATATCTAGCCTGGCCTCCCCCTCTAGGGTGGCCTCTACCTCCCCGACCTCCACCTCAGGCTGGCTGAGCAGGTGAGGTGGCAGTTGGTGCTGTAATCATAGCCTGAGGACCCGGTGGAGCACGTTGTGGCTGAGAAGTCAGTGGAAGTGCACCCCTCATAAATATGGGGAAATCCCTCACCATATGGCGAGTGTTGCCATACTCAAAACAAGCTCTGGGAGGGCGTGGCTACTGTGACTGGCTTGGGCCAAGTTTGCTGGACTGGCCGCTAGGAACACCCCGTGCAGGAGGCACACTAGATACTGGCGGTGCATTATAAGGCTCCTAGGGCCTAGATGGAGTTGGAACACCACTAGCAGCTGGAAGAGCTGAATGAACGGGGCTACTCACATAACCCCTACCATGGCGAGCTGCTGGGATACAAGCTCCAGAATAATAACCAGTCTCTCGATACCTCTTGGACTCCCTCTCCTCTCTATCCCAGGCAAGCATGCCCTTCAATCTCCTGGTAATACTCACAACCTACTGATAAGAAATATCCATCTCAAACTCCCTGGATATACTAATACAGATGCTGGGGTGGAGTCCCTCAATAAACCATCGAACCCTCTCTCGACCTGTGGCAACCAAGGCCGGTGCATGTCGGGCCAAATCACTGAAGCGAACTGCATACTCTGACACAATCATAGATCCCTTGGGCAACTGCTCAAAATTCGCGCGCCATGAGTCCTTGAGGCTCTGAGGGACATACTCTCTCAAAAACATGTCCGAGAATTGAGTTCATGTAAGTGAAGCTGCCTCAGCCGGAATACTCAACTCATAAGCACGCCACCGCTGATAGGCTGCTCCTATAAGCTGGAATGTAGTAAAAGAAACCCCACTCATCTCCGCTATGCCCATAGTACGGAGAATACGATGATACTCCTCTAGAAAACCATGAGCATCATCTGTAGCCAATACGCTGAAGGTAGATGGGTGGTGCTTCTTGTACCTCTCAAGTCTGAGCTGCTCTACCTCAGAAGCTGCTTCCCTAATTTCGGGCTGAACTGGAGTTACCAGCTGCATTGGTACAATATCTGGAACCTGGTCGACCTGAACCCGCTGCTCTGGAGTACCAGTGATGGGAGTCTGTGCTCCTTCCCCGGCCTGAGATGTGGCAGGAGTAAGTAGAATCAATCTAGCTTGAGTTAAGGTGTTGAACATGCTCAGAAACTGGGCTAGAGTCTCCTGGAGGGCTGGTGCAGAAACAAGTACCTCAGGTGTCTTCCCTCCAGCTGGAGCTACTAGGGGCTCCTCTGTAGTAGCTTGTACGGGTGCTCTGGCTATACCACGTAGACTTTCTCGGCCTCTACCCCGGCCCAGGCCTCTCGCGGCTCTAGCAGGGGGGTCATCAGATCCGCTTGTACGTGTAGAATATAGAAGTTTAGAATTTGTGAAGTCAACAATTTTTGCACGACATGGAATCAAAGTAGTGAAATTTTCCTAACAGTTCCATAGCCTCCCGAAGATAAGTATAGACGTCTCCGTACCGATCCGCGAGACTCTAATAAACTGGCTTGTGACTCATGACACCTACAAATATAGAGCTCTGATACCAACTTGTCACAACCCAAATTTCCCCTCCGTATGACGTCGTGACAACACCTAGTCTCTACGACTAGGTAAGCCTAACATTTGCGTAATAATGAAATGAAAACATAAATTTAACAACTAACTGTTCAAAAATACACATCAAATCTCAAAACTCGAAACATCGTGAATCACAAACTACGGAAGAAAAATCTAGTATCTCTATACATCAGAGTCTAACAAAGGAAAAATACAGAAGATAATGGACATGAGAAAGAGTAGAAGGGGACTCCGAGGTCTGCGGACGTGGCAGATATACCTTGATAGTGCGGTTGATAAGGAGCACTTGGATCTACACACGAAAAATATGTGCAGAAGAGTAGCATGAGTACACCAGAATCGGTACCTAGTAAGCGCCAAGCCTAACCTCGGTAGAGTAGTGACGAGGTTAGGTCCGGGCCCTACTGGAATATGATAATAAATCAAGGCAAGAATGAAATATCACAGTAAAATAAAGACTGAAAGTTAACAAGAAAGAATTCATAGAAAGGTGACAGGTCAATACACAGAAATACAACAGGGTCTGGAATACCGTTCCGTAGTCACAAAGTAAATATGCAAGACAGGAGGATCTCCCGGAATACCATTCCGTAATCCCAAAGTAAATATGCAGTACAAGGGGATCTCCCGGAATACCGTTCTGTAGCCCAAAGAAAATATGCAGTACATGGGGATCTCCTAGAATACCGTTCCGTAGTCCCAAAGTAAATATGTAGCTAAACAATAGAATTCAATAGTTACGACACGAAATTTTACAGTTCAACCTAAGTACCAGTTAAGGAAAGACATGTAAATTCACTAAACATGCCGCAAGTAGTTCAAGTAAATAGATAGGGCAAGTAGGCATGCTATTCTAAATCTAGCAGGATACTACTCATGCTGATGAAACTCAAATAAGAAAGAAATCATGTTATTATTTGGTAGAAAAATCGGGTTTTTGCACAATTAGCCCGTGTACGTACTCGTCACCTCACGTCCGCGGCACTCATATATCAAAATAGTTCCAAATCGTAAGGGTATTTCCCCCACACAAAGTTAGGAAAGCCACTTACCTCGAGTCAAGCTTAATCAACCCGTAAGAATGCATTTTTCACGAATATCCGACTCCGAATGGCCCAAATCTAGCCAAAAATAATTACATATCATAAATACAACTATAATAGACTAATCTAATTAATGAAATCAAGATTTTAATAAAACATATGAAATCCGTCCTAAAACGTCAACCCGGGCCCATGTCTCGGAATCGGGTAAAAGTCACAAAATACAAACACCCATTCACTCACGAGTCTAACCATATAAAAATTACTCAAATCCAACCACCAAGCCCCTTTCAAAACTCGAAATCTTTGTTCAAGAAGTTATTCCAATTTTTTCCCAATTTCAACCCCAAAATCCGAAATTAAATGGAGGAAACAACTATAGGTTAATGAAATACAACCAAAAATAAGTTAGGAATCGTTGCCCCAAAGCTTTCTCTGAAAATCCCTCAAATAATTACCAATTCCCGAGCTCCCAAGTTCAAAAATGAAGAAATGAATCAAACCCTCAATTTTTCCTCTTTTCTGCCCATAAATCTCGCTTCTGCGAACAAGGGCCGCTTATGCGAGCCCGCATCTGCGCTCCTCCTCCACTTCTGCGCGTCTATGCGGTATCGGCTGGACATGGCCAAAACCGCTTCTGCGGCTCCATGGACGCTTCTGCGGCTCCATGGACGCTTCTGCGGCGCTGCACCTGCGGCCCAAAGTGCGCAGGAGAGATTACACCAGGTTCAGCAGCTCCAGCAATTGCATAAATCCCAAACACAATCCGTTAAGCACCCGAAACTCACCCGAGGCCTCCCGGGACCTCGACCAAACATGCCATCATAAAACACCATACGATTTTAGTCGAGCCCTCAAACCACATCAAACAACGCTAAAATCACAAATTATCCTCCAATTCAAACTTAAAGAACTTGAAACTTCCAAATCCGACTACCGATGCTGAAACCAACCAAACCACGTCCGATTGATCCCAAATTTTGTACACAAGTTATATTCAACATTACGGACCTACTCTAACTTCCGGAATCGGAAACCGATCCCGATATTAAAATTTTCACTACTGGTCAAAATCTCCAAAAATTCGACTTTCGCCATTTCAAGCCTAAATGAGCTACAGACCTCCAAAACTCGAACAAATAGGGATACTTTTCCTTCATGGCTTCCTCTTGCTCCCATGTAGCTTTCTCAACTGAATGGTTGCTCCACATTACTTTCACCGAAGCAACATCTTTAGTTCGAAGTCTACGAACTTGCATGTCTATTACATCTACAGGGACCTCCTCATATGACAGAGTATCATTAAACTCTCTGTCATGCCTATCAATTACATGACTCGGATAGTGAAAATATTTTTTCATGGACACATGAAACACTGGATGTAGTGAAGATAACTCTGGAGGTAAACCTAGACGATACGCCACAAGCCCAATCCTTTCAAGAATTGAATAAGGCCCTATATATCTCGGGCTAAGCTTCCCTTTTCTACCAAACCTCATAATGCCCTTCATTGGAGACACCTTTAAAAATACATAATCACCTTCTCTAAACTCAAGATCGCGGCGTCTAATATCTGTGTATGACTTTTGTCGGCTTTGAGCTATTTTAAGCTGTTCTTGAATCAGTTTCATCTTTTCCAAGGCATATTATACTATATTTGGCCCAATAAGCTTCGTTTCACCTATCTCAAACCACCCTATAGGCGAACGACACCTCCTCCCATATAGGGCCTCGAATGGGGCCATCTGGATACTTTCCTGATAACTATTATTATATGCGAACTCAATCAAAGGAAGAGGATCATCCTAATTTCCTTTAAAATCTAGGACACATGCTCGTAACATATCTTCTAGGGTCTGGATTGTCCTCTAAGATTGCCTGTCTATTTGGGGGTGAAAGGCCGTACTTATATTAACTCGGGTACCAAAACCTTCCTGAAAACTCTGCCAGAACTGAGCAGTAAATTGAGCACCTCTGTCAGAAATAATGGACATGGGAGAACCATGCAACCTAACAATATCTTTTATTTATAGTGCTGCATACTGGGGTGCCGTGTAGGTGCTTTTGATTGGAAAAAGTGAGTTGACTTAGTGAGTCGGTCTACTATGACACAAATGGAGTCATGTTTCTTAAAAGTTCGCGGCAAGCCAACTACAAAATCCATATTTATTCGTTCCCATTTCCATTCTGGTATTTCAATGATTTGAGCTAAGCCGCCTGGCCTCTGGTGTTCAATTTTTACTTGCTGACAGTTAAGGAATCGTGATACGTAATCTGCATTATCTCGCTTCATATTATTCTAGCAATAAATATCCTTCAAATCATGATACATTTTAGTAGAACCTGGATGTATTGAATATCTGGAGCTGTGAGCTTCTACCATAATTTTCCTTCAAGGATCATCTACATTAGGCACGCATAGGCGGCCATCAAGTTTCATTACACCATTCTCATCAAGTGCAAAATTCTTAATCTTGCTACTGAGGACACCCTCCTTGAGCTTAAACAAGCTAGCGTCATCGAATTGTTTGACTTTAACTTCTCTACTAAAGTAGACTTAGCACCCCATACTTGCTATCAACCTTCCATTATACTTCTCATCGAGACGAAACCCTTGGCTAGCTATTTGTTGGGCTTCCTTAACTATTGGACGTTCGACCATAGGCAACCTAGTCAAACTCCCCATGGATCTTCTACTCAAAGCATCAACAACCATATTCGCTTTGCCGGGATGGTAAAGGATATTACAATCATAATCTTTAAGCAACTCCAACCACCTGCGTTGTCTCAGATTCAACTCTTTTTGCTTGAAAATATACTGCAAACTTTTGTGATCTGTATAAATGTCATATTGCTCTCCATAAAAGGTAGTGGCGCGATATTTTTAGAGAAATAATAACTGTTGCTAGCTCTAGATCGTGGGTAGGATAATTTCTCCCATAATTCTTTAATTTTCTAGCAGCATAAGCAATTACCTTGTCATTCTGCATAAGAATACATCCTAACCCTACTCTAGAAACATCACAATAGATCACCAATTTACCTATAGGGGAGTCAGGATTAGGGTTGTAGTCAACCTGTTCTTGAGTTCTTGAAAACTTTTCTCACAAGCTTCAGAACATTGAAACTTCACATTTTTCCGAGTTAACGTTTTCAAGGAGGCAGCTACCGAGTAGAACCCTTCTACAAAACGACGGTAGTAACCTACCAATCCCAGAAAATTGTGAATCTCTGCGGGGGTCGTCTGCCTAGGCCAACTCTTAACTGCTTCTATTTTCTGCGGGTCTACTCTAATGCCTTCTCTCGAGACCACGTGCCCCAAAAATATAACAGTATCGAGCCAAAATTCATATTTGGAGAATTTGGCATAAAGATGGCGCTCCTTAAGTATTTGAATAACTGTTCTCAAATGATTCTCATGCTATTTCCGGCTCTGGGAATATACCAGTATATCATCGATAAATAATATGACAAAAGTATCTAAGAAAGGCTTGAAGACTCTGTTCATTAAGTCCATAAAAGCCGCTGGTGCATTGGTCAACCTAAAGGACATTAATAAAAATTCATAGTGACCATACCGAGTCCTGAAAGTTATTTTCGGGATGTCTGCTTCTATGATATTTAACTGATGGTATCCCGATCTTAGGTCTATTTTTGAGAAATACCTAGCACCATGTAACTGATCAAATAGGTCATTTATCCTGTGTAGTGGATATTCTTAATCTTGCCACTGAGGACACCCTCCTTGAGCTTAAGCAAGCTATCGTCATCGAATTGTTTGACTTTAACTTCTCTACTAAAGTAGACTTAGCACCCATACTTGCTATCAACCTTCCATCATATTTCTCATCGAGACGAACCCCTTGGCTAGCTATTTAATGGGCTTCCTTAACTATTGGGCGTTCGACAATAGGCAACCTGGTCAAACTCCCCATGGATCTTCTACTCAGAGCATCAACAACCACATTAGCTTTGCCATGATGGTAAAGGATATTACAATAATAATCTTTAAGCAACTTCAACCACCTGCGTTGTCTCAGATTCAACTCTTTCTGATTGAATATATACTACAAACTTTTGTGATCTGTATAAATGTCACATTGCTCTCCATAAAGGTAGTGACGCCATTTTTTTAGAGTAAAAATAGCTGTTGCTAGCTGTAGATTCTGGGTAGGATAATTCCTCTCATGATTCTTTAATTGCCTAGAAGCATAAACAATTACCTTGTCATTCTGCATAAGAACACATCCTAACCCTACTCTAGAAACATCACAATAGATCACCAATTTACCTATAGGGGAGTCAGGATTGGAGCTGTAGTCAACCTCTTCTTGAGTTCTTGAAAACTTTTCTCACAAGCTTCAGACCATTGAAACTTCACATTTTTCTGAGTTAACGTTGTCAAGGGGGTAGCTACCGAAGAGAACCCTTCTACAAAACGACGGTAGTAACCTGCCAATCCCAGAAAGTTGTGAATCTATGTGGGGGTCGTCGACCTAGGCCAACTCTTAACTGCTTCTATTTTCTGCGGGTCTACTCTAATGCCTTCTCTCGAGACCACGTGCCCCAAAATATAACTGTATCGAGCCAAAATTCACATTTGGAGAATTTGGCATAAAGTTGGTGCTCCTTAAGTATTTGAAGAACTGTTCTCAAATAATTCTCATGTTCTATCCGGCTATGTGAATATACCAGTATATCATCGATAAATACTATGACAAAGGTATCTAAGAAAGGCTTAAAGACTCTGTTTATTAAGTCCATAAAAGCCACTGGTGCATTGGTCAACCCATAGGACATCACTAAAAATTCATAATGACCATACCGAGTCCTGAAAGCTATTTTCGGGATGTCTGCTTCTATGATATAACTAATGTTATCCCGATCTTAGGTCAATTTTTGTGAAATACCTAGCACCCTATAACTGATCAAATAGGTCATCTATCCTGGGTATTGGATATTTATTTTTGATAGTAACTTTATTCAGCTAGCGGTAATCAATGCACATCCGTAGGGAATTATCCTTTTTCTTCACGAACAGCACTGGAGCACCCCAGTGGGAAATACTAGGTTGAATAAAACCCTTATATAAAAGGTCATGTAATTGCTTCTTGAGTTCATTTAGCTCAGTTGGAACCATTTTGTAAGGAGGAATCGAGATTGGCTGAGTTCCTTGTAATGTGCCTATGCCAAACTCAATCTCCCTATCTGGTGGTATCCCTAGGAGATCATCTGGAAACACTTCTAGAAACTCTTTCACAATATGTATTGATTCAAGCATTGGGGAGTCGACTTTTATATCCCGCACATGTGCTAGATACGCCAAACACCCATTATTCACTAGCTTTCTAGCCTTAAGGTAAGAAATAAACTTACCCACAAGCGTACCCACTTCACCTCTAATTATAACTGGATTTTTCCCAATAAATGAGAATTTAACTTTTTTCGTGTGGCAATTAACTATAGCATGACAAAAAGATAACCAGTCCATGCCAGCTATGATGTCAAAGTCAACCATATCTAACAAGTTCAAATCAGCTAATGTTTCTCGGCCCTGAACGATGATGATGCAATTTCTAAATATATACTCAACTTTAACATATTCTCCTATAGGTGTGGAAACCTTAAACGGGACCCCTAATGGTTCTGGTGCTTTTCCAATCTCGACACAAAAATAAGGAGACAGATAAGAGAAAGTTGAACCAGGATCAACTAATACATAAGCAAGCGACCACAAACTGAGAAAATACCTGTAATAACTTTGTTAGACGCCTCCGCATTCTGCCTGTCTGGAACTGCATAGAATATGGCTGGTCTGCCTCTTCCCTGAGCTCCACCTCTATTGGCACCATGCCCAGTTTGAGCATTAGGTGCCGGAACTGGAGGAGGTTCTACTAATGAATTACCTGTGGATGCTGCCTGAGTTGCTGAAGCCTTCCCTGGAGCATGCCTGAGTCATGGACAATCTTTCATAAGGTGACCTAGGTAACATCCTCTCTAACCCAAAAGGCATTGCCCAAGATATTTTTTATTTCACGTGGAACAAATATGATCGGAGAACCGAGTCTGACTTTGATTTGTTGAACTGTGCCCCAGATAAGCCTCATCTTTACTCTATTGGCTTTGTCTGAATGGAGCTGGATAAGGAGACGAGTGAGCTACTGACCGAAAACTGAATGATTCGTGTTCTTTTTCCCAACTGAAAGTCCACTATAACTACCTGTGGTTCTAGCCTTCTTTCCATTTTCTCTAGCTTCCCTGGCAATTTTATCAAAAGCCTCCTTATGCGTAGCGATATTGACAACCTGAAGATAAGTCTAGTCATCCTGATGTGAAGTCATATCTTTTGCCATATATGGATTCAAGCCTTCAATGAACCTTCTCACTTTTTCTCTCTCTGTCGGTCTCAAATTAGGTGCATACTCTGCCAAATTTGTAAATTCCATCTCATATTCGGTCACTGATATGATACCCTATTTAAGATATTCGAACTGACGTCGGAGTTCATCCATCCGACTGCTAGGCAAAAACTTGGCCCTAAAAGCTTTTTTGAACTGTAGCCAAGTAAGTGGCGGTAATGTAGAATCTTTGGCCTTCTTGTAACCTCTCCACCATTGCCCTGCTGCACCCT